ATCACACACTGAATAATTTGGAGGCATCCTGGGAGCTGGTGTCCTCACGGCCCACCTGTCCACACGAAGGTGCCTGCTGTGGTCATCCGAAAGGCCTTCTCACTCTTCCCGTGGAGGCCCGCTGAGCCCCAGCCAAAGCAGGTCTCAAGACCCTAAAAGACACCTCCCCTACCCCAGTCTGGGGGTTGTATGTCAGCTCCACCCAAGATCAAGGGGGAGAACCTGGCTACTAAGATCTCCAAATTTCAGAACAAAATTCAAATGCTTTACCTAGTGTGCCCTCTTCTTCAAGTTTCTTAGATCTCAGTTTGTGGTTTCAAGTTCTGATGAGGAAACCCTTCATCTTTTAATTTGCCTGGGTTTTCAACACAATTACCTTTAGAAAATGTGTCTGCCAAATCTTCCAGCAGTCCCTGCCTAAGAACACTAGCTTTCAACGACAGTTTAATTGATGAGGGAATATAGAAAATTTTAAAATTTTACAGCTTTGAAAATGATAATCCACCTACGCCCCACAGCTATTTTGATTCTCTGCCTGTTGCCTTTTACATGTCCATATAATTTCATGCTGTTGCAATCTTCGTTTACACACTTTACATTCTCTTCATTTTTATAAACATTTGTCTGTGATTCTATCTGGTATCCAAAACTAGTTTTAATGACTACATAATAATCTATTGTGTAAATGGACTACAATTTATTCAAAATATCCTTCATGTGTCAAACATTTAGATCGTTCCCATTTCTTGTTTTTCTACTACAAAAACAATGCCACAGTGAACACCTTTGTGCACATTATGTCTTGGACCTTTTCCCCTTAGGGTAAATTCCCAGGATTAGAACTACTGGATCAAAGCCATGTGTATCTTGATGGTTCCTGTTATATATAAAATTTATTAAAACAAGTTACATTGCATCATCAATGAATAAGCGCTCCAGCAATGGATAAGGTTCACTGCAAACTCACTAGCATTGAGTATCATCATTACATTTTTTTTTGATAATTAAAATGGCATTTCAAACAAATATATTTTCTAAAGAAGGGTCTCCAATTCTCAATATTTCTGTTCAATTCAGTTTTGCAACACTCATTAAAATTTTACACTGGTGAATGTGAAATTATGAGGTATCCATTATCTCATACCATTTACCACAGTATAAACGAAGGTTGCATATATATTTAGTTGGACCTGGCCAGAAAAGAATGGCAGGGAGAGGGCTCCTCTCCTTCTGAGTCCAGGAATTGTGAGAAAAGAGACTATGGAAGGAAGCAGTCACATCTGTGTATCCCTATCTCTCCCATCCAGGCTTTGACCAGAGTTGGGGGGTATGGAGGGCTGTTTGATAAATTGGAGGTAACCCCAAAGGATGTCTCTCTGCAAGGCACCTCCTTACCCACATGGGGTGGTTAGCGCAGTTAAGCTGGTGGTCAGGCAGAAAAAAGATCTGGTTTGCAGTCTTGCGTGTCCCTTGGTTTGTACATGGCATGGACATGGAGTCAAGGAGGAGCATGTCTGCCTGGGCACCTGCCAGTTCAGAAGAAAGAGCATAGCCTGGGCCAGAAACCTGATGGAGATGTGCTTCTCCATTCCAGCCAGAGCCGAGGGAACACTCCATCACCTGGGAGAGGTCACTGTGCCTGGGGAGGACTGAGAATGAATCGATCCTGAAGCCATTAGCTACAAACCATTGCAGCAGATGCCAGCACAAGGCTCAGGGTTGGGACTAGGTTGACCCGCCTCAGCAGACACAAGCCACGTAAATCAAGAACCAACAGGAGACTAGGGTACCCCCTTCTCCCTCCACCCACGCATCGAGTCATGCTGGCCCTTCCCCCATATCTCCACTGCCATCTTAGAAAGAACCAATGAGAGAAGACAAGGGACTGAAATTATAAGCTGGCAACACAGGATGAGTAAAACCTAGTCATCATTCAAATCAATGGATGGATCAGACTAAATTTAAACCACTTAGGACTAAAATTTGTGAATACTTTTTCCTGCTACCCAGCAGGTGGGAAGCTAGTAACAGAGATCCAAATAGTTTTGGAGACTAAAGAAACTTCATTTACAGTGCACGGTTGAGTTGTATTGTGAGCAATTTTAGTGAACCAGCTAAAGGAGTATGATGTCAATTTTTGTAAAACTTCGTATCCACGTATGCATATCTACATAGAGAAATGTTATTGGTGGTAAACTCATCATGGTGAGATTTGGGGTGGTTTTTACTGTGTGTGTGTGTGTGTGTGTCCGCGCGTGCACGCCTTTCTTTATTGTTGATGTTGTTTACTATTACTGTATCATTTTTCCAAACTGCAAGGACTGTGATTAGGACTGCAGACAGGTAAAAACCCTGTTTTTGTGTCTCTGACCCCATGTAACTAGTAATCAACGACTTGGCTTCTGACTCTACAGAACCTGCTTGCTTCCCTGTGCTTTGCAGTCTAGGCACCCACCCCCCACCAAGATTCTATAATCTTATACTGATCATGTTGGATTTATGGAAGTGACACATGAATTAAAGACGATCCTCAAGTTGAACAAAACTTCAGTGAAATTTTTTTAAAAGTCTGACATGTTTTTAGATCAGTCTGGGAGAAAAGGAAAGAATATACAAATAATTAATGGTGAGTAGAGGCCCTGTTCCTTTCTTGCTTTAGACATTAAGATTTAGAGAGACACTCATGTTGAAAATGCGTAACAGACAAAGTGACAGGTATTTTTTCTCAGCTGCTGTGGATTTTGCCATTAGGAATAAGAATGCTGATAAGATCATACAAATCAGTTATTCCTCAATTCCATTTTTCACCTCAAAAGCCTGAAGGTGTCACTTATCAGCAGATGATGTACCAGGACAGAGCTATGAAAATAGATCAAGTTCTATCCAAAAGTCCCTACTTTTTCCTGATTTCATATGAAATTGCTTCTCATTGCCTTTCTTTCACTTCTGCTTCCTACCAATTTTACAGGTTTCTTCTAATTTAAAATGTTATCTCATGTAGACTGTCTGATTTGATGCTCACCACAACCTTGGGTGCTACCATGATCCTTATTTTAGAGATAAGTAAACAAGGCTCAGAGGTAAAGGCCTGTCTAAGTCCTATCGCTGGCGAGCAGAACAGCCAGGAACAGCTCCTGTGTCTCCCCTCTCCACTCTCACATGGACTACACAGAACCCTGACAGGTGTTGACCTCTGGGGTCCCAGTATTCTCTTAAGAAGCAAAGACAATCCTTGCCATTGGCTCCAATTATTGCAGTTTGAAGACTTGCCTTGAGAAATGCCTGCTGACATACATTCATGACCTCACATGTGTGCCTTCATAGAAAGTAGAAAGTCAGTAGGACTCCTTCTGAGGAGGCAGTGCAGGGATTAACTGCCCTTCATGGACTCCTCCCTTGTCTGTTTTTCCTTCTTCTCCAGCCAAGTCTGTAATCTTAAGAAAAGCAGGCACTGGCCCTAGGGATCCTGTTCTACAAAATATCAAATCTAATATGAAGTCCCATTGGCCTATGCTCAGCTCCTTTATGAAGGAGAAGCTCTAAGGGGTTTGCTCTTGGCACATGATTGGCTTAGTCAGCACTGTCACGAACAGGAAAAGGGAATGCTGCTTATAATTATTACAATAGTTAGTAACTATTATAATAGCTAAGTCTTCAAAAGTTAAAGATCATCCCAGCTTACCCTTCCCCCTCCCCATGTCCTCAAGTCCACTCTCTACGTCTGCATCTTTATTCCTATCCTGTCCCCAGGTTCTTCAGACCTTTTTTTTTTTTTAAGATTCCATATATACGTGTTAGCATACGGTATTTGTTTTTCTCTTTCTGACTTAATTTACTCTGTATGACAGACTGTAGGTCCATCCACCTCACTACAAATAACTGAATTTCGTTTCTTTTTATGGCTGAGTAATATTCCATTGTATATATGTGCCACATCTTCTTTATCCACTCATCTGTCAATGGACACTTAGGTTGCTTCCATGTCCTGGCTATTGTAAATAGTGCTGCAATGAACACTGTGGTACATGACTCTTTTTGAATTATGGTTTTCTCGGGGTATATGCCCAATAGTGGGATTGCTGGGTCATAGAGAGTGGCAATGACATATATACACTACCAAATGTAAAACAGATAGCTAGTGCGAAGCAGCCGCATAGCACAGGGAGATCAGCTCGGTGCTTTGTGTCCACCTAGAGGGGTGGGATAAGGAGGGTGGAAGGGAGACGCAAGAGGGAGGGGATATAGGGATATATGTATACGTATAGCTGATTCACTTTGTTATACAGTAGAAACTAACACAACAATGTACAGCAATTATACTCCAATAAAGATGTAAGAAAAAAAAAGTTAAAAATCACTGCACTTGAATCCAGGGATGAGAGAACTGGACATAGACACTGAAGATCTAGCTTGAACTTCTGCAATTACTTACTAGAGGATTTTAGGCTAATTATTAAATTTCTTTAACGTTCAATCTCCCCATTAGCTATGATGAACAGCACATTGTTATGGGGCCATGGAGAGGGGGTAGTTATTTCTAATAATAATCACTATTATCATTATTACCACTATTATTATTATTAGCATTTGGTTTTTAAATAGGTAAGATGATTTTGAAAGTCATATATAACACATATAACATATAAAATGTGTTATATGTATAGTATTATTGTTATCATTACCCAACCTGTCTCTTCGAGTTTTGTATTTCTTCCTTCAAATGCTTTCTGAGAGCAACACGCCCACTCTTCACCACCACTCACAACTCTTCTGTTTCCTTTCCCATCCCGGATCATGCTGACTTTGAAAACGGTAGATCTTTCACTCCAGACATCTCCCCCTACAGCATCTCTGATATACCTTTGGAAATACATACTGAGGAATGTATAGGCTGTTTATCCCATGTGGTTTTATTGAGTAAATGTATAAACCAAGTGGTGTGGGTCACAAGGGGTGATCATGGCTAATTGTGGGGTTGCTTTTTCCTTCTTCTATCACAGAGCCAAGGGAAATGGCGACCTCAGTCGATGGGACTGAGACTGTGGGTGAAGCTGCTGGGACCACACCCTATGACTATGAGGGGGCACTGCCATGTGAAAAAAGCAACATCAAGGAGCTGGGGGCTCAGTTCCTGCCCCCACTGTATTCGCTGGTGTTCACGGTTGGTCTGCTGGGCAATGTAGTGGTGGTGGTGATCCTCACAAAATACAACAAGCTCCGGATTATGACCAACATCTACCTGCTCAATCTGGCCATTTCCGACTTGCTCTTCTTATTCACTCTGCCGTTCTGGATTCACTATGTTGGGTGGAATGAGTGGGTTTTTGGCCACCATATGTGTAAGTTGCTCTCTGGGCTCTATTACATGGGCTTGTACAGTGAGATCTTCTTCATCATACTCCTGACCATAGACCGGTATCTGGCCATCGTGCACGCCGTGTTTGCCCTTCGAGCCCGGACGACCACTTTTGGTATCATCACCAGCATCTTCACCTGGGTCCTGGCAGGGTTAGCAGCCCTCCCTGAATTTATCTTCCATGAGTCCCAAGAGGAGTTTGAACAGACTTTCTGCAGCCCTCTTTACCCAAAGAATGGAGAGAATGCCTGGAAGTGTTTCCATGCTCTGAGGTTGAATATCCTGGGTCTCGCTCTGCCTCTGCTCATTATGGCCATCTGCTACTCAGGAATCATTAAAACGCTGCTGAGATGCCCCAGTAAAAAAAAATACAAGGCCATCCGGCTCATTTTTGTCATCATGGTGGTCTTCTTTATTTTCTGGACACCCTACAATCTGGTTGTCCTCCTCTCAACTTTTCAAGTGCACCTGGAGACTGAGTGTGAGCAGAGCAGACAGCTGGACCTGGCCATGCTGGTGACGGAGGTGATCGCCTACACCCACTGCTGTGTCAACCCCGTGATCTACGCCTTCGTTGGTGAGAGGTTCCAAAAGCACCTCCGCCACTTTTTCTACAGGCATGTGGCCATCTACATGGGCAAATTCATCCCATTTCTTCCTAGTGAAAAACTGGAAAGAGCCAGCTCTGTCTCCCCGTCAACAGGAGAGCAGGAACTCTCTGCTGTATTTTAGGTCAGATGCAGAACATTGCCTAAAGAAGATGGATGGGGCAGATGAAGCAAACACATCAACCTCTGCACCAGTCCTCTGAACTTCCAGCGCAACACTGAAGTTCTTAAAGACATTAAAATATATACCCAATGGTAGCAGTCTATCTATGCACCCCAGAGGCATTACCAAAGGTCAGCAGCTGGGCAGTGACTTATTGTCAAACCTGAGAAGTAGAGCTTTGCTTGATTCTTTCAAGAGTTACATATATTTTAATGCACCTGAATGTTACACAGTTACTATGTGCAGCTACACACAGGTAAAGCTTTTCATATCTTAAACCTTAACTTCAGCCAGTTATTGATATAAATGAAACATACTTCACAAAATACAATAAATCAATTACATTATCTCTTAATGTGCCTAGTTCTTTCCTTGCTTGATAAAGACTTGTAAAAAATTTATGCATATGTACTCTCAAGCACCATAATGGCATGTCACACCTGTTTTGAATATTCTTAATAATGAACAGATCTCCTATTCACACTGAATGACCACAGTTCCCATGAGCTACTCGATAGAAGAAGAGCAATTTGGTATTTTCAGTATAGAGAATAAAGGCCCTGCTCATAGAAACTTCTCAAGAGTCCTGAAATGTGCAGACACTGTCCTCTTTTACACCAGTCTCACTGTTCATCCAGTAACTGTGCATTAGGTGATACAGACAGGATGCACAAACACTGCCTTAGGTTAAGAGAAGGATGCAAAACTGTGTAAGACAAACACAATCCTTGCCCCCATGAAACTTTCCCTGTATTAGAGGATGTTTAAGACAGAAACAATAACTTTAGCGCAAAGAGGGACACACTCGATGCTACGCCTGGGCCAGGAAGAAAAAGACCATTTCCAGCTGGAATCTGAGGGAGGAAGTGGCTTTTGAGTAGGTCTCTGAAGGAGGGGCAGGATTTAGAAAGGGAGAGGGTTGGGGGGAAGGCACCCGAAGCCAATGTACGCCCAATACAAAGGTGACTGGGGAAGGCACCAACACGTGTGGATGGCAGGGTGAGGTGGGAAGGCTGGGATGGGGGGTGATTTTCAGACAGAGCATCTTGGGCTTTATTGGGAAGGCAAAGGGAACAAAGCAGTCAAAATGGTGTGTCAGGAAGATAAATCTGGTATCACGCAGAGGAAGGAGTAGAGCAGGGGTCCCCAACCCCTGGGCCATGGACCGATACCAGTCCACGGCCTGTTAGGAACCAGGCTGCAAGCAGGAGGTGAGCAGCTCCGCATCGCTCACGTTACTGCCTGAACCACCCCTCCCCCTCCCCCCACCACTGGTCCATAGGAAAATTGTCTTCCATGAAACCCGTCCCTCATGCCAACAAGGTTGGGGACCACTGGAGTAGAGGCCCCAGAACCGGGCAGGGAGGTAAGTTAGGAGACAAATGCAAGTGTGGAGGCAAGGAAAGATTAATGGCTGGTCAAGAGAGGTGCCAAGAGCATGCCAAGAAGAATGTGGCCAAGAGACAGTATGAAGGAAGAGTTAAAGCATCAGGAGCAGTATATGGTTGATTGAAAAAAACAAAGGGCAAAACAGAATGTATGTTTTTAAAAAAAAAAAGAGGAGACACTTTTTTCATTGTGCTTAGATGCACTGACCATCCTCTTTAAGGATACAAAAGAAAGAAGTAACAGAGGTCATCTTTAGGGAGGGGCGTGCGTAGAGAATAGAAGGAGGGATCTTTCTCTGAATACCCTTCTGCATCTTTTAGATTTTGAAACATGGAAACACACTTTTCAAAAAATAAACAGCACTTTAGATTATACAAAAAAATAAAAGGCTAGACTACTACTCAGATGTGGTATCCATTCTAGCCATAAAGAGATTAGAAGTCCTCTGCCATGAATTAACTCTGTGACCTGGTTAGATTATCTCTAACCCCCCTTACAGTCCACGTAAACTCTGATCTTGCTAAAGTTTTAGGAGCTGGATGCTCAAAGTCTACAAAATATATTGTACAAAAAAGGAGGTTGGGGCCTGATAGACAATTCCACAGCATCACCTCTTACTGGCCATGAGACCAAGCGCATTTTCCATCGTTCACTAAGGTATACTCAAGTTTCATGTGTTCATTCATCCATCTGGTCACTTATCACTCATTCATTCAGTAAACATTTGCTAAGCACCTGTCATGTTCTCAGTTAAGTCCCTCAGGAAGCTCACTGTAGGACTGAATTGGACACTGTTCTGTCCTACACTGCCCAAGATCAAAATCATGTCTTAAAAAGAAAACTGCCAATACCTAAATTCAACCCAAATGAGAGAGACTTCCAATGTGAAGACCAGAAAACATTCCATTTCCAGAACATTTCACATCCTAATCAGATGCTTGGAGAAGGGATGTACCTGCTCTTGGCCTTCCATGCCATCCAGCCTCGACTGCTAGTGAGTGGCCTTAATTTTTCTTACTTTCACCCGTCTGAAAGGTCTCACCTCAATCCAACCCTACATGGGCAGCACAGGATGTGAACTTTGGAACACTAAACCACGCAACACGAATCTCAATTTGGTTAGGAAACTTTGAAGTTACTTTTTCTCTTTTTTGTGGTTCAGCCAAAATGTAAATAAAGCAATCATTTAAAAACTATACATCACTGGTTCTCTCTTGCATTGAGAAGTACTGTTTGCCCTTAGGTAATCACAAGTGCAGGATATAGGTGCTAGTTCATACTCCCCGGATCCCTGAAAGCTTTTAGGAGCTCTGTGACCGACACAAAACTGCACATAACCAAATCACAGATTCAGTGTGCTCCCCAGCCCCATGCTGTCCCATGGAACCATCTACAGCGATAGAAAAGTTCTACATCTGTGTTGTCCAATCTAATCACCACTGATCGTATGCAGCTATTGAGCACCTGAAATGTGGCTAGCGAGACTGAGGAACTGAATTTTTCACTCCGATTCAATTTTAATTGAAATGGCTAACATGTGGCTAGCGGCTACTGCATGTAGTTAGTGGTACAGCACTAGCCCCTTCAAACTTGCCTCTTCATATCAACTCTGCCTATGCATCAAGCTTTCTGTAGTCAGCAATCATGTCTTGAACACTGTGCAACAGGCTGAGGAAAATGCCAGTGATGTAAAGATGAATAAGATTCATTTCTAGAAAACTTACCATTCAGTGGAAAAGATCCATCTGACTCAAATGACTATAATGAAATGTGACAGGTGCCCAAAGGCCCTCAGCAGAAAGTTGAATGAAGAAAGTTACACAGAGAAAGTGACATTCTGCTTAGGCTGGGTTCCCCCAAAAGCAGTTCCTGAGCAAGAAGTGGAGAGCAAAGAGTTCATTCGAAAGGAAACTCCAGGAGGGAGTGGGGAAGTACAACAGAAGAGGAAGATGCCAACAAAGGGTACATTACGAAGTACCTTCCACTGAGGGGTGACTGGAGCTCAAAACCACTAGAAAACTCTAGGAAACAGTGTAACTCACACTCCTCAGTTATTCCATTCGAGGGGGAAGACAGCTGGGGTATTAACACTCCACTCCTGTTGGTCACTGGCTGATTGGTGCTTAATTCCTCAGGATTTCCAGCCTGCCTGGTTCTCAAGAGGCCTTCCAGCTTGAGGAAAGCTCCCCAGCAACAAGATGCAGATACTGGATGTTGGACACCAGCTAGGCACACTCAGTTAAGGCTTGAGGGATAAAGCATTTGCTCCATGTTTGAACAACTTTTTCATGAACCAAAGGGTGGAAGTGAGAGCAGTGTCTGCACTAGAGAGAGTCTGCTGCGGTGAAAACTAGGGTGACCTTGACAGTGGCAGGTGACCTTGAACACACCTCAGTGTTGACTTCCCTGCTGCTCTTTTTTGTTGAGCATCATAATCTGCTGGTTTAAAAAGTATGATCCTTTTCCAGCTGGAGTTTCTGAGGTCTTCAGAATTCCAAGGCTAAAATTCTAAAGTCTTCACATCTTCTGGACAAAGCAGGTTTATGTCCTCCACAGGCTATGGGCTTTCAATCACTGAGATTTTCTTCCCTTTCTGCCCAGATAAATCCCCAGTATAGTTAAGGTCACCATTTCTCTTTCTCTATTCACGGATCTAATCCAAGGGTCAGTGAACTGTGACCCATGGGCCAAATGCAGCCCACTGCCTGCCCTGTAAATGGAGTTTCACTGGAGCACAGCCATGCTTGTTTGTTTATGAACTGTCTGGCTGCTTTTGTGTTACAACAGAGTTGAGTAATTGTGACAGAGACTGTACAGCCCACAAATCCTCAAGTATTTACTTTCGCATCTTTACAGAAGTTTCCTGATCCCTAATAATCCATGCCCTACAGGATGTGGGGCTCTGATATGCATAGCCATGATGAGGGAGACCAGATTTGGCGGGGGCAGGGGGAAACTAAGGATGTGAGGTCTGTGGACAAGCTGCTTAAGTCCCCAGGTTAGTTCTAGCTTGACCCTGGATGCAGTTCTAAACAACCAAAATAGGGCTAGGTTGTGTAGTAGTCAAATGCTGCTCACTAATACAAAATGCTATCAGTCTGTACCAACATAGCACATTGGAAGTTTCAACTGGGGCAGCCGGATCCCACAGATGCTGTATTCCAAACTAGGGCTATACACAGAATTGACACAGGAATTGTTAAAACACATTTCACAACTCTTGAGACCCCTCACCTATACTGGGGACAAAGAGATTGGATTGTGAAAATTAGGGAGATACTTGAATAGGAGCTGTTTGTTGAGGGCTGCTGGTGCCACCTCTACACGGGGGATGGGAGGAAGGAAGTCACGGTGGGTGTGGTCTCTCACCTCAAGCCTGATAAGAGCGATGCCAGTGGGACCACCCAAGAGCTTGATACAACTCATTGAGGTTAAAGAAGACCTGACTCTCACCCAGGAAATCAGGAGAACAGAGACAGGCCAGCCAGCTGCTTTGCAGGTGGAGTAGACAAAAACTGCCACTACTCGGGGATGGATCTATGCTTTCAGAGTTGATTTTGGCAAAGAACGTGGGATTCTTTTCCATGGACCAGATGAGAAAGAGCTGAATGGGGGATTTCTAACCTTGCCCAAGAAGACTGCCTGGATGGAGCTTGTCTGTAGGATGAGAAAAATGTGTGCAGTGGACCGCCAAAACAGCAGGGTATCCCTGTTATGTTGACTATGAATATTCCCAGGGATGTCTCCAATTACTCTACAAAAGCAGTCCTTGAGAGAAAGAATCAACTTTTACACCTGCTGGTCCCAGGGGTGGAGCTGGAGGTGAAGTCATCATTTTATGACAGGGCCACTCAAGTAAAAACTTTCCTTCCTTTCCCAGTGCCTACCAGTCAGGGGACTAGAAACCATGCTTAGCAAGTAGGGGAAGGAGTAGAAATGCCAGGGAAGATGAGAGACAAGTAGGAC